CAATGCATAAAAAATGTACGTGATGTTAACGTTTGTGTAATAAAGAACTATTATTTTTATTATATATATTTATTATATATATTATATACATTTTATTATGTATATTTATTAGCATATTTATAAAATTAAAAATATAAAGTTTAAAAAATATTACAAAAAATTAGTTAATTAGTTAATTAGAAACAATTCAAAAATATTTTTTATAGTATAACTGTTTCAGATTGTAAGTATTGTTGAACAAAAAGAAAATCAATTAAAAAATTTTCTATTAAATCTATGACTTTACTTGATATATTTTTTATTAGAATGAATGAATGCATTATAATGGAGAGAGGGGGAGAACATTTATAATCGGTACTCCATTAAATTATCATTGTAGTTTGTATTTGACTTTCGCACTAAAGAAGGTTCAACTCCAGAGTCGAAAAACGTTTGATTTAGATATCTATCTTGGTAAGTACATTCAAATTGAATTGCAAGTTATATCTCATCATATTAATATATATAAATCAGCAACGCTACCTCATAAAAATAACTCATTACTGTTACTATTCTTTTTCCTAAAAAATCATTATCGTTACTCGTTATTGATTTGCAAAGGTAATTCGTTATCGTTACTCAAAATATAACGAGTCGTTACTTTTTCGTTACTTTTTCTCTTGATACTAATAGAATATTATATAGCGTTTTTCATTGGCAAAACTTGTGTGCAATGCACATTAAAACTATTGTACATAATTCTAATTTAAATATAAAAATGAGATATCTGAGAGGATAAAATGCCTAAAATATATTTACATCAAATATTATAATTTATATCAAATAACATAATAAAATGTTAAGGATTTCGTAGTTTAACTTGTTTCTATATTTTTATTAACTATACATCTTTACGTTGATTGTACAGCGGCTGTAAAGTGATCTGCATATAATAGCGTTTTTCATTAACAGAACTAATACGCACTGAATGCATATTAGTTTTATTAATGAAAAACGCTATTATATGCAGATTCTTGCGGTAACTATAAAAAAGAAGGAAGAATTCTGTTTTTAGTAAGGAAAAAGCTAAAAGGCTAATGTATATACGCTCTAGTTATGATTAAAATTTTTACGTAAATAGAAATAAAGTAACGATAGAAATAAAAGTAACTAGAAATCGTTACCATTACCTCAAAAATTTAACTATGTTATCATGAACGTTATTCAGAAGAAAATGTAACGTCATTACTCAAACGTTACCAAAAAAGTAACTTGTAAAAAAAATAATAGTAACGACGTTACAAATGCCAATCCTAAATAATAAATAAAGTAAAGTAAAGTATATAATAGTAAAGTAAATATATTATTAATTTAGATAAAATTAATATAGAAGATAATAGTAAAGTAAATATATTATTAATTTAGATAAAATTAATATAGAATCTTCAATATTATAACAAAATAATGAACAAATATTTGGGGAAATAGGACTCAGCGCGGAATCAAAGTAAAAATGTAATGATAAAATAATCTTCATTAGCTTATGTATTCGTATCAGCGATGACACAAGCCATCAGTGCAATTATAGAGTGAACATCACATTGCGTTACATTTTTCAATAAAAAAACAGCTTTTGGATTATAATTACATACTAGATATTAATAATTTAATGTGTTTGATTTATAACGTATTGGATTGGATTATAACTTATTGAATGCGAATGAATCTAATGCATCAGTTTTGGTAAGTAACCATTAGATTCCGTTCTCTAAGTATATGATGGCCGTTTATTTTAACATTATGTTTCGTTTCTTAATTTTACTTTACAAAGGTTCTGTGAAATCCTTTCCTCAGGAAACTACTAGGAATCTTTTTGATACTGGAATATTTTTGATAAGATAAATTCTTTCTTTCTTCATCTTTTTGATAAGATGGTTGACAATGTGACTGTTGCATCCTCAGAACACGTATAATCGAATACATTGCCATTGATAATGATTAGAAGTAAGTCGAAATGAATCCGGACATTGTCATAGTAAGTAAAAAATTATTGTTATATATATAATGAACTAATAAAGATCATTTTATCATTTGCGCATTTACTCTGGTTCACAAATCGAAATCAAACCAATATCGATTGATTTTTTTTATTTGATATTGATTTTTCTATTGATCTTCTATTGAGGAAGGTCTCGAAGTTATATAGCCGTTTTCGTAGCTAGTCGCGACCAATTGTCTATGTGACCGCTGCAGATCGGTTATATCGTGCTACGTGGCCTAAGAGGCGCCGAACCGGCAGCCTGTCTTGTCGTTCTTATGCTTATTCCGGTTTCTTGTACGTGTGTATGTATGTATGATAAAAAGGGCATGTAGTGGGTCCACTTTTCCTATACATCATTGGCGCAACATTTATAATAAAATATGCCACATAACATGCTCCCTCCGTTGAGAGGACATATGCCGATCAACTAGATTTTTGATGGTTCTGTTTGTGCAGACGAAGTACAATGTTCGATGTTCGCGTGACATTATTTAATTGGAAATAGACATTTCACCGATCGTTTTAATAATCCCGCATCGTTTTAACGGTTCGTACAACTCCTTCTTCACCGGGATGAATATCTGCGACTCTGCCCAGGGCAATGCAGTAAATTTTTCTCCTTGATGAGAACGATTATTCCAAGAACGTTGATTCTTTCGCCGTCCTTGGTCCCTTTATGGCGAACTTGAAGCTCATTGAGATATTCTAGGCTTCAACGTGCCCAGAAATCCTGTCGGATCTCGTAGATGTGCTGCCAGGTAGAGAGACGATTGGCTGGGACAGACGAGACATCAGACTCCGGTAGATTAATCAATGGTCAACCGATCAAATAATGAGCGGGTTAAGGCTAAAGGATCGTCGACAAGGACGAAATAGGTCTAGAATTTAGTATACCTTCGATTTCTATGATAAAGGTTTAATTTTTCAAATGTAAATAAAAGTTCACTGACCAAGCGCTGATGTTTGAATAACTTTACTGTGGATTCCCACAGTCCCCCGAAATGTGAAGCGATAGGAGGTATGAAATGCCACTTGATATGATGTTCGATAGCAAACTGATTTGTTATATTTTTGTGCCCGTCGGAGTTAAAAAGAACATAGAGTTCTTTTAATTGATTATTGGGTCCGCAAAAATTAGTCTCATTGTTCGTGTAAATATCTATTGGAATACCTTGCCTGGTTATGAAACGTCACAAAACCGCGAAAAATCGGTTGTCATATCGCTTACGATCTCTAAATGTACGTCCTTTACAGCCATGCAAACAACACGCACACGTAAACCTTGATTCGATTCTGATTTTTGTGTTTCTTTTCTTTGATATAGAATGGTCCGTAGAAATCTTTGAAGTGTTATCGAAAGGGAATGCGCTATGTACTCGAATAGTTGGTAGATTACTCATTTTATAATTAATTGTATCGGTCGAATCGGGAACGTACGCATGATCACACTATTTTACGCATTTGATTTCTATCGTCCAGAATCCAGACTCTTTGTCTGATAGCATATAAGGTCATTTGGATACCAGCATGGTAGTGTTGTTCATGGGTTTTTTTAATAATAAGGTCTGTCATAAAAGTAATTTGGAAGTAGAATGGGATGTTTCTGTGTAAAGGCTAATTTTGATCTTCTAAGGCGGCCGCCGACGCAGATTAAACCATTTTCGTCGATGAAAGGATTCACAACGTAGCAATATTATTTTTATTTATGATTGTTTAGCCGCAAGCCTCTTTAGTTCTTGTAAAAAGTGAGAAATCTGTGTGATCTTTATTATCCTGATCTTAGCTTCGTCTAATTCTTTTATGCATTCTCCTCGATACGTATTCGTCGGCCAAAAACGCAGGCATAATGTTATGATTCGTCTCAATTTTGAATAAGAGTATTTTCGAAGGATGTTACAATTGATCACTATCTTTAAACAGATATTTCTCCGGCGCGGATATCTTAGTTAATTCCATCATTCTTGTAGGCCATTTGTTTTCTTATTAACCATGACGGCTCCATAAACTAGATTTGATTATTTAGAAAAGCGTTTGGTAATTGACCTCTAGAGAGCGTATCGGCTGGATTGTCTTTAGATTTGATGTGTCGTCACATTTGGAAATCCATTATCTCTTGAATTTGTGCGACGCGATATGACACGTGTATTTTTAAGAGATGGGGCGGAGTTCTCAACCAATGCAGCGTAATAGTTGAATCGTTCCATAATTATTACCTGTTTAATAGTTAATTCGTGTCGCGTATCTCGCGATATAACTTGGCCAATAAAAACGCGCCGCACAATTCCAACCGAGGGATAGTCATGGTCTTTAAGTTAGTCGTGCGACTCGGTGATTTGGCACACAGAAGGCATTGTGCATTATTATATTTGTTGATTG